ACAGAAGCAGTTCTTGCAGGTGAGGGCATATTGGAGGCCCCGAGACAGCCGCGTGCAGGTCAGGCGGGAGCTGTGGACAAGTGGGCTGGTCCCAGGTCTGTGAAGAGGAATAGGCCCCTACAAGGCATGATTTTTCTCTAAGGTTTGTGCATTCAAAGCCCGTTATTGCCCATCTGTTCAGATTCACCTGCTGGGGATCCCCTCCTTTGGGCCACACATCCTTTGTCAATGTTCATCAGGGCCGGAGTGAGGTGAGTGAGGACCCTAGGGCACAACACTCAAGGAGCACTGCTCTTAGGGTTGAAACGTGCAAGCTAGCACTGCTGTGACCCTCCTCCCCTTCCCTGTCCTGCCTTCACTCCAAGCATGAAGCTCCAGAGGACAGAGATTGTGACTTCAAATCTCAGGGGTCCCTAGAGCCTGGGCAATGCAGGACTCAAAGCTGGTGCTCAGCACCCATTTGTCAGTCAGCGTTGTGGCACAGCAGGTTAAGCTGAGGCTTGAGATGTTGGCAGCCCATACCGGGTGCTGGTTCAAGTTCCTGCTATTCTGCTTCCAATCTGGCTGTCTGCCAATGTGTCTGGGAAGACAGCAGATGATGGCCCAAGTGCTTGGTGGTAGTAAAATGGTGCAGTCTTATCTGTGGCGTGATCTATGCTCCAGATACCATCCTTGGCTCTAGCCCAAGCCACTGTTACTGGAAGCCAGGTGGCCACATGGCCCAACCACAAGTCAGCCCCACCCCCACCCTAATGGACTTTGCTGCTCCTAGTTCCCTGCCTCCTGCAAAGGTATAATAGGACCTGCTTCCTGCACACATGCCCTCTCTCTTGATATCTCTCTCCCCTCCCTCCCTTCCTCCCTTCCCTCCTCCCTCCCCATCTCTGCCAGGACACAGGTGCTTCTTCTCAGTCTCCCATGTAGGTACAGGGGCCCAAGGAGTTGAGCCTTCTTCTACTGCTTTCCCAGGCCATAGCAGAGAGCTGGATTGGAAGAGGAGCAGCCGGGACTAGAACCGGAGCCCATATGGGATGCTGGTACCGCAGGTGGAGGATTAACCTACTGTGCCATGGCACCAGCCCCGCTTGCTATGTTTTCATTTGCTATTGTCAGTAAGCAATCTGGGAAGCCTGACTTGCTCCCTCATTTCTCTATCCTCTTCGATGTGGGAAACTGACTCTATACTGAAGGACTCTCCAGGATATACAGTTTCATCTTTAGGCTTTATAAAAGGGATGGCTAACATTTTTCTGTAGTAATAGCTGAGCCAAGATGAGAGCTTAAATTATGATTTCACAGCTAGATTTACTTCACCATGGGCACAGCAAACAGGCAAAACCTCCCTTTCAGGCCAAACAAAGGGAGAGAAAGCTTTCCCCGTGGGCATCGTCCACCTCACAGAAAAACCACTATCAGATCATGTCCGTGACTAGAGACTTCTAGTTTAGGCCACCATGGGACTTGAGCACCCTCTTTTTTTTTTTTTTTTTTTTTTTGACAGGCAGAGTGGACAGTGAGAGAGAGAGAGACAGAGAGAAAGGTCTTCCTTTTGCGGTTGGTTCACCCTCCAATGGCCGCCGTGGGCAGCGCGCTGCGGCCGGCGCACCACGCTGATCCGAAGGCAGGAGCCAGGTACTTATCCTGGTCTCCCATGGGGGGGAGGGCCCAAGTACTTGGGGCATCCTCCACTGCACTCCCGGTCCATAGCAGATAGGTGGAGTGGAAGAGGTTAACCGGATGT